GGTGAAACAGATCACCAGCCCAGGTTGGATGCATGAGACAAGTGCTCGGGCCTGGTGCACTGGGAAGACCCAGAGGGATCGGGTAGAGAGGGAGGTGGAGGGGGGATCGGGATGGAGAATACATGTAAATACATGGCTGATTCATGTCAATGTATGACAAAAACCACTACAATATTGTAAAGTAATTAGCCTCCAACTAATAAAAAAATAAATGGGAAAAAAAAGTCTCAAGCTCTATCAACAGCAAAAGATAAATGCCATTATCATCTCACCAGTATGTGGAATCTAAAAAACAAACAAACAATAAGCCAAGCTCATAGATACACAGAACAGACTGGGGTTGCCTGAGGTCGGGTGGAAAATGGGCAAAACAGATAAAGGACATCGAAAAGTACAACTTCCAGTTGCAAAATAAGGCACGGGGATGCAATATACAACATGGTAACCACAGTTGATGATATTATATTCCTATCTGGAAGTAGCTATGAGAGTGGATCTTGAAGGTTCTCATCCCAAGAAAAATAATTTTATAACTGTAGATGGTGATGATGTTAACTAGGCTTACTGTAATGATCACTTTGCAATATACATATTATGTTCTGGACCTAAAATTAACATAGAGTTATATGTCAATTACACCTCGATTTAAAAACACACTAAATAACTTAAAGGACCATCAAGTCAGCTTTCCCTTGTTGGTCTTGATAATTATTTAGAAAAGCAAAAAGGCATCCTCAGGTATTTTCTCCCACAAACTCTACAGTTCATATCCATCCTTCCATCCAAAAAAAGCACAGGACTCTCCACTTTTCAATATTTTTTATTGTTTGACAGGCATTTACAACGTTCCATTCATAGACCTAAAAACATAAAAATAGACCTTCTTTCAGCTTATAAAAGAAATATATAAGAACTTTTGACATAGACACATCATGACCTTATGTACAAGAGACAATGGCACCCTCTCCAAGCACCAGACTTTCCAGCATTTTCAGACAAACCCGTTGCACTGGGACTGGTCAGTGGGACTATTAGAAGCCTCCGCTTCAGTTTTCCACCCAGACACAATCGAATTAGAGATGATATGGAACAATGCAGTGATACAAAGGGTATAGAAACCATTCTAAAGCTCTTTAAGAAAATCAGAAGATATAGCAAAAATTTAATAGAATAAAACTCTCAAAAGATCAAGCTCAAAGCCCTGGAAACCCGAAAGGGAAGGGATACAGGGTGGGGAAGCAGGAAAAGCAAGCAGGGGCACAAGAGCGTGATGTTCTGAACTCTCTATTGTCTGGAAATATAAATTCATAACTGATTTTTATAAAATATAACTCCTAAAGCTACTATAAAATTCAGGTCTTTAAAGTACCTACTGATGTGTCAAACACCAAATAGATATTTTCCCCAAAAAGAAAGTTTTCATATTATTTAAATCTTTTTTAGGAAGTGGACATTGTGAAATGGGGGGGGAAGAAAAGCTATAAACCTTTAAAAAAAAAATTGAAAGTGCTTTAAATTGTTTTTGTTCATCCTGTTTGGAAATCTGTTTAGTAGAACATTAGTTGTTTTCTCTTTTTTAGCATGTTTACCCTGTTTGTTGGCATGAAGAAAGTGTTAAATACAAGACATGTTTTTGAAAAGATTGTTTTGTTAAGAGGTTTGGTTATGGACTATCAGGGAAGGGGTAGGTCATCTACGGATGGAGATGTAACTATGGTGGGAAAACCAATGATCACCATGGCAACCCCGTGAGAAGGAGTCTCCCCTCCCCCGCCATGTGCAACAGACACACACACTGCCCATTCCGGTGTCACGTTTAATCCGACCAAGCTCCCATCTCAAATAGAGATTCAAACATTTAAAAAAAAAAAAGAAAACGAAAAACTGCTTCTTGGGAAAAAAAGCTTCTCCTAAGCATCTTGTTGGCCTTTCATATATAAATATAAAATCACCACACCTCACTCTCTCTGTAAAAGGTAAAATCCTCATTCTTTAAACTCAGAGTTACACTAACTGTAAAAGTCTCATCTGTTTGTGCCCCCCTGCATCTCAGATAAAATACAAAAAATAGTGTTTTTTTAAAGTGATAAATTTGGATCTCTTTTCAAGGAGTTTGGCATCTTTATAATTCTATGCAAAACTAGAACTTCCGAACACCGACATCGAGTAAGACCAGCCATAGACTAAAACAGAAGAGGAAAAATGGAAAAATAAAAAAAAGGCTCATCAAAACATAAATCTTCACCCTCTCCTCACACATTCTTAAAATACACAGAAATTCTCGGACATTTAAGAGGGAAAGGAGAAAGAACACTGCCAGCTTTACAGTTGCTTTGTTTTCCCAACTAGGAAGTGGCTCCTGGATTAATTTCAGATAGAGTCCTCATTAATTTTTCATGTGCTATCCCTTAAGCTAATCTGTTGTACATAGTTCAACTCCTGGGGTAGTTTGCCTTTCAGTGCTGTAGAATTTTTCTTTCTTTTTTTTTTCAATTCTTTTAGGCCCTGATTAATTGAGAATAAATAAAAGCCCTTAGTAATAATATACAGAAGCTCAAGCTGATTTGGGATTCTTGAACAACTCTTTCCGATGTGGTTAAAAATGATCAAGTTGGGTGGCTACATGGCTTCAGAACAAAGTCAGCTGCCAAAATGGGGAGTGTAGGGGGCGGTGGAGTGGGGTGGGGGGGCGGCAGACGTATCTACACGGACTCGCTACGGATGGGGGAACGTGACACAGTCAGATCTCAGTGTTCAGCTTGCGGGAGGGGGCAAAGTCTTCGCGCCTAACCCAAATGACCTCCTCGCTCGTGCTCTCCGGGCCTCCGTTGATGCCCGACAGGGCGGCTTGCTTCTTGAGCTGCGTCATGCGGGACGCGTGACTGTCCAGGGGCCTCCGGCCTCGCTCCCGCTGAGTGATGGAGGCGGCCTGAAGCCGCTCCTGCAGGTCGCTGTCCGCCGCGGCGCCCTTGGCCGACTCACAGAACTCATCATCGTCACTGAGGATGTCTGTCTCCTTGATGTCATCCTGCTCTTCATACTGAGCAAGATCAAACTGTTCCTCCACCCAGCGGTCAGTGTCCCCGCCACCGGGGGGCTGCTGGGGGTCTTTCTCCGGGCTGCTGGCGGAGATGGCATCGGAATCAATGGTAAACCTGTTTCGGGCCAGTCGCCGCCTCCTCCTCCCAAGAGACTTGCTTGGGGCGGACACTGCACACACACACAAAAATATAACAATAAAACCCCCACATGCTTTACATGTGATGAAAATCCAGAAAGCAAATACAAGCTAAAGGAAAGGAAAAAGACTATGAGATATGCATTTAGGGCCTAGGTATCATTTGGGGCTTAAGAGTCCAGTCTGTCTCCGGGGGGCAGGGACGGGGGCTTTACCTGGCACAGATGTCTGGGCTTAAGAGGATATTCTAGTCACTGATGGAAGGGCAAGGAGGTGGGCGGTGGTGATAGGGACGTGGGTGGGTTGTAGGTTATGGGGAAAAGGGGATTTGACTCCTTCTGAAATAATCCATGTCTCTACCTCTGTACCTGGGAGGCAGGTAATACAGATTCCTGCTGTTGTCAAGTCCACCACTGCCGCTGGGATAAATGAGTGCTCTCCTTCCTGACCATGGCCTGTGGCACAGTGCTCTGAGGATCCCCCAGGGGCTGTCCTAGAGTCATTTAGCTGGAATAGGCCTTTAGTAAGGACGGAGATGCTTTCAGAGTTTCACTGTCTTTAGAGAAATCACCATGATGTACCAAGGAGGGAAAAATACTGGTCCAGGTTATATTGCTTTCTGAATGTAACATTTCTTGAGGATCTTCAGGTACCTTAAGGGTGCACCATTGTTTTCTTAGAGGCTCAAGAAAAGATTGGGTCTCAGAGATGTCATGTCCTCTTTCTGACAAAAGCCTCAGGTGAAACTGAGGCTAAAGCAACTTTGAGCCTTAGTCCCTTCCTGACTCTGTTCTATGTATCCCCAATTTCTCTTCCACAGAACAATTAAACTACTAGTGCCTGAGTGGAATGAGAAAGGAATAATACAACACTCAAGCAGCTGATGGGCAAAGTGCAAAATAAAGTGACTAACAGTTAAGAAAAACAAATCTCTGTATTCTGTGTTTTCACCTCACTGCCCTCTAGGAAGTCAGTATTACTAAAAACAAACAAAATATGCCACCCAGTCAAGCAAACAATCACACAGACACACACAGACACACACACACTAAAGACACATGGAAACACTGCCACTTCTCCAGTGAAATGTACCACGTGCTTTCCCATAGGAGGGGGGAGCCTAGACACCAATAAGGAGCTGCTTTCTTGAAATCTATACCCGGAAATTCATTAAACTGCTTCAGGGCTGCAAGAAGTATTCCTATTTCCTGCCAAATATAGCCTTGACTTCAAATATAGCAGGTGCAAGGTCGGTAACCCGGACAACAGTCTAAATTGGCTCCCATTCTGACCATCCTCTATCTCAGATCCTTGTGTTTCCATCATCATCCTTCTCATTCAAGTTGGGGAATGAAAATCACTCCCGGAAAAATACAAAACAGAAAGAATAAAAAAATAGTACTACTCCATTGGAAAGAAGCAAAAATTATTGTTCAATATTACCTCAATATCATCACAGTAGAACCTGACTCTCCAATCACTATATTAGAACTACCTTAATTCCAAACTGGAATACTGGAAATATTTGTCAAGGATGTGCTGGCTGAAGTATTTAGGGGTAAGGAGTGGTAATGTCTGTATTCTGAAGACATGTCAAAAGCAAGATGAGTTGATGGATGATGGATGGATATGCGGTAATGAAAATATATAAAAATGTTAATTACAGACAGTAGGTAGGGATGTGTATAATTCTTTCATTTGTTCTATATGTCTAAGAATTTCCATAAGAAAATGTTGAAACAACAAAAAAAAATGTGTAGTTGGATCACTGGCAGACATTTGGTGAAGGGAGGCAGAATATTGGCCTTTACTGTTCTACTCAAACAAGAGCAAAAGGAAAAATAAACTAGCCAGGTGTCGTGAATCATGACAATGAGTAATGAAGCCTAACAATCTGTCCTTTACTAAAAGAATACATAATAACCTAGCCAGCCGTATGGGGTTCCAAGAGACTATCTTTAACTTGAGTGCCGCCATTACTCACTATTAAGACTGATTAGCTAATACAGTGCTGACCCATTCAAACAGCATTTTTAAATCATCTAATGTGAATGATGAGAGTGAGGAACTTCAAAAGCAAAGTGATAAAGACTTTCTTCAGCCAAAAATGAGCTATTAGGCTCTGACATCAAGGCTTTCTCTCTTGATATTCAAGATAATAGGGTAGGTTGTAGCAACTTTGTCTTCTTTCCAAAGGGATCTCAGTGGAAAAACTTCTGAAAATGCTTAGTTTCAAAGTGAATGGAGCTCTAACTTTAGGTTCATCAATTAACAACTAAAACCTGGCCAATGACAAGTGGGTTTTCCTGAGGTTGGGACACATAGTCCCAATCCTAATCAAATACATCTGGAAAGTAAAAGAAACAAATGAGATAATTCCAAGATGAAATTCTCTGCTATAAGCGCTAAAGAGATGAGCAAAGCTATTTAATACATGAGGACTCCAGGAGAAATCATGGATGGGGAAGTATGGATACTGGCAAGCCCAGAAGAGTGCTAGGTGTTCACTGTACCAGGTTTCCAATAAACACTTAGCAACTGATTGAAGAATAGATATAACTAGTCCCTTTAACATTAGCTAAACTTAAGGTACTTAGAGTGTAATATACCCTGTCAAGCTAGGCAGGTTCTGTCTGTGAAAACCTTTAACCATTCACAGTGCCATACCTGCCTCTTCAACACAATTGAGAACAAGCAGAAAATTCACCAGAACAGAAGGCGTTTTGGCGAATGCAAAGGAAGCCTCTTTTATTGGAATGTTCCCTGCAAAATTCTGGATTGCCTCTTAAGAAAGAAGTGGTAAAAATGTTAAATCTTGATGTCTTTAATACCCAAGTGTTATGAAAATATCTTTCTTCCTAGATAGATTTTAATGCCATTTACAGGTGGTAGTATTGATCTTTACTGCTTCAAGGTGATAGAATAAGTCCTAAAAGAGTATTTACTCTGGGACCATTTAAATTCCAGATTCTTCTTTTCTAATAGCAGCTCAAGGCTTCCCCAAATCAACACAGAAGCTAAAATTAAAATTGCAGGCACAGGTAAGGGTAACATCTGATGGGTCATCTGGTCTACCAAACATGGCCTCCCTACTGAGAACAGGCCTGGCTGTGTTTCCGGAGGACAAAGCCACCACGTTCTCAGAATGGTGGGCTGTGACCTTGCTGAGACATCACACGCTGCTTTTTTTTTTTTTTTGCTGGACAAAGCTGGCTGTCATGCAAAGCAGCAGCTCTCATTCGGCAAGCAGGCTGAGACAGCCCCTCCCAGCAGGAGAAGGCGCTCAGTTCCTGGCTTGGCGAATGGGAGGGAGAGCTCGGCATCCAGGAGGAGGAGGGCAGCCAAGGGCGAGCTTGAGGGAGGGCGAGAGGCTGAAGCCGCCGGAGGTGGGGGCAAAGGCAGGGGGCCTCACACCAGGAGAGGAGGTACTCCAACATCAGCCGCCACAAGGCCACATCTAAGTCCTGCTCAACGAGGACATCAGTTCTACAGAGGAGTGGGGGTGACGGGGATTTTGAACGTCTGAATCCCCACAGTACCTGCCCTGCTCATGGCCGGCCGGGCCCCCTTCAGCGCACACAACCGCTTTCCTCCGAAAGGGACATATTGCTGGGACGAGGGAAGGCTCTCGGTCTTGAGGAGCTGTCTTCTGTGCTTATCTCGCAGGATGGAATGCACAGCCTTCAGGAAATCCTTTCGGCTCTCTGGGGAGCTATGAAAAGAAGATTTACATGTGTTGGGGAAACAGCACTTAACACATGGTGAACTTCTGATGCTATCAGGTACAGTCAAACAAATATCCCTGAGGACCAAAGTTAAAGATGGGAGGTCACCACTCCAATTTCACTGCCGAGGAGCGTTTTCATCGCTGTAGATAAAGAACACGTATTCCTTTCCCTTTATGCTTTGTGACTCATCTCCTGCAGCCAATCTGGGACAGAGTGCCCCATTACTGAATAGATTGATGGAGAGATGGATTTTACGGACAGAGTTGCCAGATTCTGCTCTCAGTACTTAAGGCTGAGCCTTTCATTCTACAGTGTTTTTACAGACAAAGGAACCAAGAGATTCTTGCAGCTCTGCAGCACCCCTGAAATAATGCCCCAACACCCTGAGCTTCCTTTAATTTGGCCTCCTTGTTAACACATTACTGAACGGGGAATTTCTGCAGAACCTAACATCTGCGGCCAGTGATTTACCAGGTTGGCCAAAAAGTTCATTCGGGCTTGTCATTGTACCTTACAGAAAACTTGAACGAACTTTTTGGCCAACTCAATTGTATGTAAGTGAAAATTGAAACAACTCCGGTCAGTAACATTTGGGCAACAAAAAAGACATATTAATACATCTCTGGTCAGTAATGTTTTAAATATATCAGTGCCTCCCACAGCACATGTCAACATGAAAATATTAAAGATACATTGTTAAGAACTGAAAAATCTTCCCAAGTCCCAATTCCCAAAGTACATCCTAGGTCAGTTATTTTTCTTGCTAAGAGCTCAATATTTTTACCCAGGAAGTTTTACCTGGTATTCCCTATTAACAATGAATATGGCATCTCTGGGGCAGGCTTATTGGACCCTATGGATTTAACAACAACGACAAAACCACACGCATATTAGCCTAAATAGATAATGTGGTAAAGGCAGTGCTACATGTGGTAAGGGTGGTGCTAAACCACACATAGATTATTTGAAAAAAATTTCTGTTCTAGTTCCAACAGGTTCCCAGGATTTGGATTTATTGTTCCCTGTCATCCAACACAGACAGGTGAAGCAGAAATACAGAATACACGCTTTGAAGTCAAACCCACTGAGTTTGAACTCAGAGTTCATTTGATATAAGGTTTTAGCAAAGTAGCCTCTATGAGCCTTGGCACCTCATTTGTAAAAATGGAATAAATACCTCTGGCTGATTAACTGAAATAATGCATGAAAGGCGCTTAGCCTAGTTGATGTTTGGTAAATGCGTCTTCTTACTACATCAGCAGTCACACTGTAAAATATTATTAACAACCATAAAATATTTATTCTGTTGAAAGTATGGGCTGCACTTGAGAAAAGTACAATTCTCAAATTCTCAAGAGCCCAAAGAGAAGGAGGTGAAGGAGAAGCAGAGGGGGATGGGGAGGGGAGGGTAAGAATAAGAAGAAATAAGTAGAAGCCCACATCGTAAGTTCAGCTTCCACTCCAGATCTGCAGGTGAACCTGAGTCACCTGCGCTAGCCTCCCCAGGCTGAACTTTCTCTGCGTGATGATGAATCCCTGCAACAGGGCATCATGCCCACCTCCTCCCCGCTGACTCTCCCATCTGTTGCATCTCAGAGACGTTACAGAGGGAACAGTGCACCCAAACCCCAAAACCAAGCACTGTAAGACAACCACGTCCCTCTAACCCACCAAATGTACACTGGGGGAAAACACCCTCATTTGAATGTTAGGTATGTATGAAAATTCCAGTTTCCTTTTAGAAAGATACTAAATTGACCAGGTTACTGTCTGCATTCTAATAAAATTAATTGATCCGATGACTCTTACTCAATTAAGCGTTAAGTACTTTCTCAAATGTATAGAAAAAGGATATAGCTTCTAAGGACGCATGGGCTGGTCCAGAGAATGCAGAGGGGTTGGGGGCGCCACGCACAGTCACACCCCACCCTGGGCAGCACAGTCCGCGCTGCACGGCTCCAGCCTCACCTGCAGCACAGGTGGAAGACCCTCTCCGGCCTCCCTTCAGACTCCGACTTGACGTGGACGATTTCACACACAGCGTTTGCTTCCGCATCTAGGTAAATTAAAACAAGGATGAATGAGAGTATGTTTCAAAGAAATTTATTTGCATTTTTATAAAAGCATCTTGCATGCTTTGGTGTCAAGATTAAATACTGCAGAGCCGCCTAAGACCAAAGCAACTTCATTTCTGTCCCACGATCTCAAGAGGCTAAGTGATTGAGAGCTTAATGGATACAAAAGAAAAGAACGCTTGGAAAATTTCCAGTTGCTAAAATCTCCCTCTGGATGGTTTAAAAGGACAATCGGTCAATCATACTGATGAAAGAACTGACCCTTTTAGCTTCACCGCCCATTTAGCTGAACTATTTTAATTAAGTAATTCGTTGTTTTGGCAACAGTTGGACGAGATGGAGCCCAAGATTCCAGTATAGGCCAGTGATAAAGAGAGGCAGGCCCTTTCCACCAGCAGGAGAGCCTTCCCCCTGTGACCAGGCCTGGTGCCCCGGACAAGAATCTCCTGGGAATAAATGGGGCTCTTCTTTCTCAGTCCAACATAGAGCCCAATCTGAGTGAAGCAAAGATGGTATCCGAGAAGGTAAGAATAAGCTATATTTAGAAGTAATTTGTAAGTCTTTCAGTGCCTGAAGATCATGTTATTTTACCATGTTATTCATTAGTAGTGTTTATAAAGGAGACAGTTGATGGCAGGCACGCTGAACTCTGAACATTGTGCAGTCTCAGGCTTACCCAGTGGCTCCACACCCTGGTCACAGCAAACCCTCATCACACAAACCCAACCAGGACCCAAGTTCTCCCAAATGCAGACAAAAATCTAGAAATTTCCATCTTCTGATTCTCAAATTCATTGGCATATACTTCATAAGGAGACGTGTTGGCTAGTCTTTACAACGCCATGAAAATAAGCTTCCGTCTTGATGATTTTAAACTTGATTTGAATGAAAACATATTGAGGGTGAGAATGGAATGTCACATTCACAAAGATGGCTTTGTTTTCCAAACTTAAGTTCTTCACGTATTCAGTCCTCAAGGAAGGCAAAATTCCTGCCTGAGAAGCCTTTATAGTGTGCTGTAAACACGGGCTTTTCGGGATATAAACCAGGCACAAGGAAACACAGGAACTGGATAACTCACAACCTAAGACTGTGTAAGACAATGCTAGTATTTAAGAGCCCAAACTTCAAAATACTATTAGACCTGTTTGTAGACCTAAGATTTCTAGGTTCCTGAAAATTCATCTGTAAATCAATTTTACTAATCAATCAGAGTGAAAAAACAACAGGGTAAATCTCTGGGCCAGAAGGTTTGCCAGACAAATATCTGAAGGCAAATAGTCACCCCCAAATGCATTTACCAGCCGTGGTTTCTTGCATTTGAGTTCTCTTTGTGCAATGCATAAGAGCTGTGAAGGAAGTGATTTCTAGTTTAACTTGGGTGAGTAACTGAAGGTTTACCAAATACTGCAGAAGGTTTGTCCTCATGACACTGGATTAGGAAAAGAGTTGGTTCTACAAGGACTAGAACCAATTTTATGGCTGATGGAGGGGACAAGTGCAAACAGGGAGAAGATGAGTAATGCCAATCAGACACAGAGAACTGTGCATTCATGTTAGACATCAGTGTGAAATGAAAATATCTCCTGTCATGTTAATAAACTAGAAATGTCACAGCCATCAGTGATTTCTGGCCTCCAAAGGTGAATGAGGGCTCCCAAAACTGCATTCCATAGGATGCTGCCAGCCCCTACAGTGACTGCTGAGGAGATGGGGGAATGCAAGAAGCAATGTGAACAGGAAAACCGGACTGGCCCCAGATGGCTGAGGTGCATATGAAAGGAATGAATTCGGTAAGCCCAGAGGCTTGCATCTAACCATACATAGAATGCTGAATTCCTTAACTTAATACCTGATCTTTGATGTTCAGACTGCCTGCTCCCTTTGTAGCAAACTTGTATATAGCCTGACATCCCCTCTTGCCTCCTTGGAACAGGTTTCTCAGAGCTACTGAGATGCCATCTCCTGGGCTCGGAGTCCTAAACCTTCCCACCAAATAAAATAACTCTCTACTTTCAGGCTGAGACTATATTTTTTAGTCGACACCAGAAACACAAACAGAAGTACAGATGACTGTGCGCCTGGANGAGGCCTGGCGTGCTGCGATTCATGGGGTCACAAAGAGTCAGACACAACTGAGTGACTGGAATGAACTGAACTGAACTGAATTGAACTGAACTGAATACAGCCTCAAATGAAGCCCTGGATGGGCCCCAAGTCACAGAAACACTGCTATTCTAAGTCGATACCATGCTGACATTCACTTCTCTTCTCATGCACTAAAGCACCATCTAATCAAGGACTGAGTTGGCCAAAAAGTTCAAGACTGTCCGTAACATCTTACTGAAAAACCTGAACAAACTATTTGGCCAACCCAATACATTCATCACTACCTGACAACTGGCTTCACGGATATTTGGGTAACAGAAGAAGAAGTGACATTTCATGCTTATACAAAGATAAAGATTTGTAATGCTTCAGGAAAAAAAAAAAATGTATTCAATGGCTTTTTTGTGCTTTGGAGGCCTTTTGGGGTCTCTCAGTTAAAAGCCCAGTAAGTTATTTACATGGGCTTTGTCTGCTCACGGTCTCAAAGATTCTTTCCAGAAGTACAAGACTCACTGCTACTTAGATGTGTCACTGTAAAGTTATTAATATATATAACAGAATGAATAGAATTCCTTGGAACAGTAGTAAAGACATGACGTCCATTCACTTAGATCATTTAACAGATAGTTGGGCAAATAAGAGGCAATGAAAAGTTTGAGGGAAGGGAGACATAAGCAGAGAAGAGAAAAGATGGTGGAGTGGTTGGAGCCAAGAGTGTGGATTCAGAGAGACGGCTCATACAAGAAAGACGTATCCAACCCGTTTCAGAGTTTACCTGCACTGGCCAAAGCGCGAACCTGCAGAGCTTCGGTAGGAATCATGTGTCGAAATCGGAAGGGGTCCCAGTCCTCATAAATTGAAAGCCTGTGCGATCCTACCTGTAGGGAGAGAAGGAACCCGCTGCATGAGATCTACGTCTCAGTCTAGACCAGACCCTCAACTTTCTAAACCAGTGACACTGCAGACAGAACAGCCCTGTGGTTGCCAAGGGGGAGAGGGGGTGAGGGACTAGGAGTCTAGGCTTAGCAGAGGCAAACTACTATACACAGGATGGGTAAACAACAAGGTCCTAGTGTATAGTCCAGGGAGCTGTATTCAACAGCCTGTGATAAACCATCATGCAATAAAATAAGAAAAGGAATGTCTGTCTATATGCATGTAACTGAGTCACTTTGCTATCCAGCAGACACTGGCACAACACTGTAAATCAACTGTACTTCAAAAGATAATACAACTTAAAACATTAGTAAAACTCAATTTCTTTTAATTTAAAAAATTAAATTGTTTTAATTTTCAAAATAAAAACAGCAACGCTGGAATCCTGGGCTGCCCCCTACCAGCCCCATGAGCCCTTCTGTTCGCCCGGTAGCAAGCCAGAGGCCAGGTGACAGATCTGCTGAGGGTACGCAAATGAGCTTGCTAACCAAATTCAGGCAACAGAGAGAGAAAGTAAAAGGAGAGAAGGGACTCCAAAACAAGAACAGAGAGGGGACAGGAAGAACAGGGAGGGGGTAAAACTAGTGGTGCAAAGTTCTGGCCATGGTAGGTTCAATAGTTATTTACTGGCTGGCCAAAAAGTTCACCCATGTTATGGAAAAACCCCAACGAACTTTCTGGCTAACCCAGTATTTTTATGCTGTAAATGTGAGCCGCCTACAGGATGGACAATTTCCTCAGATGCTCAGTTAACACCTCAAAAAAAAAAAAATTCATAAAACATTCATGCCTGACAAAGGTTCAGAATTATAATTACACAGAGCCAGCTGAGAAGCAGATAGAGAGGGGAGATACTCTGAAACTGTGGGCTGAAAGAAAAAGTCTTACTAGTTTCTTCTTCTGTTTGGCGCCATCTTTATAGACAAGGACCACTGCAGTTTTGAAGACTGGAAGAACAAAATGAAGGCGGTTACAGCACGTCAGGCGTTGGGTTTTCCCCTTCACTTCAATAAGTTGTGGCAACAAACACAACGGTTATGAGGAGGATAGAGTCCCCATGAACGAGCTCCCCTTCCACCCTCCACTCCCTCAGCACATCTGAGAGACACAAAAGCCTGCTCAGACAAAAATTTCCAGGTCCCAGATAAGTACAGGAAGCCTAAACAGATGGAAATAAACCCTCCTGCCCCACTGGAAACTTTGGGGTAAATATATCTTTCAACTACGCGCTCTCTTCAAGTTTCAAACTTCAGTTTATACACATTTAACAAAAATGTACTAGTTTAGCAGCCGAAGGAACACTGCAAACATCAATAATAATAATAATAATAATAATAATAGTACTTAAGGTAATTTCTATTTCAGTAAATCAAGCTGATATTACACAGTGCTCATAATTCAGAAAATATAATTCATCTTTTTGACCTGAATAAATAAAAACTGGTTTACTGAGAAGAATGTAATTCTACTTCTTCCAAACAGGATGAATCATCAGCCATTTCAGGACTTCTCTAGGAGTCCAGTGGTGGAGACTTAGCCTTCCAATGCTAAGTGCAGGTTCGACCCCTGGTAGGGGAGCTAAGATTCCAAATGCCTCTATGGCCAAAAAACCACAACATAAAACAGGAACAGCATTGTAACAAATTTAAGAGACTTTAAAACTATGGAGGACAGAAGGTAGGTCAGACTGAGAGCGTAGCATTGAAATATACACACTACCATATGTAAAACAGCTAATGGGAAGCTGCTATATAACACAGGGAGCTCAACCTCATGCTCTCTGACAACCTAGAGGGATGGGATGGGGTGGGAGGGGGGTTCGACAGGGAGGGGACACATGTATACCTGTGGCTGATTCATGTTGACATATGGCAGAAATCAACAAAACATTGTAAAGCAGCTATCCTCCTTTAAAAATAAACTTTTAAAAAAGGTTTTAAAAATGGTCAACATCCAAAAAAAAAATTCTTAAAAAAAATAAGCTGTTTTTAGAAGCTAGGAGTGTGCTGTTTTATTCTTATATTCTTTGGGGGCGAGGTGGAGGGGGGGCGGTAGAATGGTGTTATGCATAATCTTCCATAGAATACCTTAAGCAATGCCAAGCACATTTAACACTCAGTGATTCTAACTCCTCCTGGAAGAAGAACCGATGCCCAGACAACAGGGGTGACCCCAGTCCATTGCTGGCTCTCTATCTCCCTTCACAGAGTGAGCCCGAGTCACACTAGGGACCCCGTCAGTCACACGGAGGGGGCACCCCTGGGTACCAGATGCAGAGAATTCTCAGGGACAGGCCCCCAGGCTCTCTACAGACCAACCCACTGTGTCTGGTTCCCTTTTCATCCTACCCAGGTAGGACGGGTCAGGTTCCCTATGTTTAAGACTGTTCTCATCTCCACTGTGGGAAAAGAGGTGATAGGGAGAAAGGGACCCCAGCCACTGAGTCTGTGCTGTCTAAGCACCTGACTTCACAAAAACCCCAGAGGCTAGACCGTGAGGTTCCCACTGAGCCCAGGAGGCCGCAGCAGCTGAAGGAGGATGTGCCCTACTGCCTGAGGAGGCCCTCAGTCCCGACCATGAAACCTTCAGAAATCACAGTGGCCAGGACAGCAGGTCCCTTTAAAAGTGAGGGAGATCCCCTCTAGGAGAGAGCGAGGGTGCCAGTGACCTTCACCTCCAAAGACCCACTACCTCCTTGGGACCAGAGCTCAGTGAAACTGTTGCCATACTACTGGCCTGCCTCGGGTTACTGGACCATCTAGGATCGTGGTGGGAGGACCAGAGTGGACCTCAGCCCGACCTGTGAACACCTCTGCCATGATCCCTCCCTGATCCATGGGGTGACTCTCACTCAACCAACTCCATGTGTTGCCCATCCCTTTGGACACGGCCTTGACCTTCGAAACTCCTGGCTGCTCTGGTCAGCCTAAAACACTCGCTCCATTTCCCAAAGGATGAGCATCTAACGCCCTTCCAGGGTGAAGCCTGAACAGACGATGTCTGTGCCTCTTTTAAAGGTGATGACCATCAACCCTGAGCACAGACTAGCCTTCCTGGGAGTAAAACATCAAGGTGCTATGTTGGCAGCCAGTCAACTTCAGTTTCAGAAGAAAAGTGGCACCATTTCCTGAGATCAGAGGTTCCAACGGAAACAAGACAACCATGCTTTAAACCCAAAGCTGCCTGCTCAGAGCTGATTACTTCCCTCCGAGCAACTCTTCCTTGTTTCAAAATGCATTTCTAAGGCTCTGTTAGTTCTGCCTTGCTACTTAAAAATCACACCGAAACTGCCAACATGTCACCTTTTAAGGACTGGGAATCGTTAAAAAGTTGCTCATTATGATGACAATAGTCTGTTCATGTCTGCTCAGTCACTTCAGTCACATCTGACTCATTGTGACCATATGGATTGTAGCCCGCCAGGCTCCTCTGTCCATGGGATTCTCCAGGCAAGAACACTGGAGTGGGTCACCATGCCCTCCTCCAGACACACACACACACACACACACACACACACACACACACACACACACTGCCCCTGACCTGGGCTTGTGTCACAAAAGCCCCAAACCTTAAAACTGCCATTTTCCTGGGCCCTTTTCTATTACAGATTGGCAAGCTAGGGCCCACCCGCTTCTGCTCAACCCGCCAATATGATGCCCATTTGTTTACATACTGTCTATAGCTGCATCTGGCTACATATGGCCTCTGGGTCTGCAAAGCCTAAAATATTTACTCTGTGGCCTTTCACAAGAGTAAAGTTGCCAACCTCCTGGTTTCTCCCACTCATATGATTTTCTTATTTTAAATCTGTTTATTTCTAACTGCAGGAAATCTGTAAAATATAGGAGATAGGTATGAAAAATTCCAATGCTAACCTCTTGTATGGTTCATCTGTGCCCAGAAGCAGAAACAGGGAGAGAGATGGTTTGGGTCATTTCCTTCAGAATCCTACATCCCATAAATGACCTACAAAGAAAGCTCCCAGACCTCTCCTCGCAGTGGATAAGAATCTGCCTGCCAATGCGGGAGACACAGGTTCGATCTCCAGTCCAGGAAGATTCCACATGCCAAGGAGCTTCTAAGCCCATGTGCCACAAGGATTGAGCCTTAGCTCTAGAGCCTGTGCTCTGCAACGAGAAGCCACTGCAATGAGAAGCCCGTGCACTGCAACCAGAGAGTAGCCCCTGCTCTCCACAACTAGAGAAAAAGCCTGCATGGCAACAAAGACCCAGCGCAGTCAAAAATAAATGATTTAAAAAAAGAAAGAAATTGCAATATTAGAAACAGAACTACTAAGAATGGGAAATGAAATAAATAGTATTCCTCCCCCTGCCAAAAATATCCACTCCTATCAAAAACCACCAGCATGTAAAACTACCCCACTAACTCCTTTGAATATCACACTTGGTAACATGTTTCTTCTTTACACTTACATGCTTATTACTTTTAATTAGATGGCATCAACAGCTGCAATAGTGGCTCTTTGGAATTTTTAGGGATATCACTAAGGTTTTCAATGAAGGCTGAGGGATCTAATCAGGAAATCCAATGAACCTTTGTATTAAACGCTCTGATTTTAATACCACTGGGATGTTCCTCTTGGGTGTGAACTGTTCACATCATACAAGAGAAGGAGAGTTCAGTTTAAAAAGCAGTAAACAGAGAGAACAAGATGATGGAGGAGTTGGTGGATGTGAAGCTCATCTCTGTCCACGGATACATCAGAAACACACCTTCAGACACAGAAGCACATGCGAAGCACCAGCTGAGCGGACAGGAGGACCTGACCAGTGGAAGAGGATACACAGAACCACGTAAAACTCAGTAGCATGAAGGAACTAGGGGGAAAAGCAGGAGTGTTAGAAGGACTGGACCTGCCCTCAACGGGTGGAGGAACTGAACCAGGGGTCTGATCCCCACATCAGGGCAAGTGTCTGAGTCAGAGGAGGAACATTTAAGGCTCAGAGTGAAACAGCTCATCTGTGGCAGCCTGAACAGAATGAGGATCAGACAGTCCTTGCTGCAACTATACATGCCCCAGACAGGGACACAGGTCCCCTGGAAGGCAGAGCGGCTGGGAGCTGGAGTTTCGGGATTGCAAAGCAATCCCAGGGCAAGACTGCTGTTGACTGCAGAGAGACGGACTGAGGGGGTGTGAGGGAGGGCATTGTGGTGGGAAATGCCGGTGGAGGAAAGCTGGGCAGCCACGGAAGCAAGGCGGTGCTGCTGAGTCACGCGTAGAGGGTGGAGCCATCCGTCTGTTTCCTCCCACAGGCCAGCAGCTGAACAATAGAGAGGCTGGCCCATCAAACGCCTGAGGCACTGAACTACAGCCTAGGACCCCACCCAGGGGGCCCCTTTAACTGCTCGACGTGTGGAACAACAGAGAAGGACCCCACGCAAGGGAGCCAGCCCTCTAAGTGCCTGAACTGGTGGAGCTACGGAGAAAGACTGGCAAAGAGGCCTTCTGATCACCAGTTACAAGAGGCTTGGGAAAAGACTGACAGCGCCATAACTCCTGTGGCAGAGGCATTCCGCGTCCCTGCACACTTGGCCGCCAGAGTTCCCGAAAGCCAAGCAGCGCACCACCTTCACACTCACTCCTCACGGGGCAGGGCTGCCACAGGCAAGAAAAGTCTTGCATCTATGCGCGCAGGGTTGCTTCCGTCGTGTCCGACTCTTTGCACCCCTGTAGACTGTGGCCTGCCAGGATTCTCTGTCAGGAGGGTTCTCCAGGCAAGAATACTGGAGCGTCCTGGCCAATATTGGTTGCCATACCCTTCCAGAGCAGTATATTTCCTGCTGCCCTCACTGCCAACCCCCCTGAGTACCTGGTGCTGCCAGGACCCTTGTGAGCCAAGCAGCTGCACCAGCTCCACCCCTGGCCCTCACGGGGCAAACCCAAGCCCTCCGGGGCAGCCTCAGGAGCAATCCCCAGTGGACG